AAACTAACTGTAATAGTAGTCAGCTGAATACTGTTTACAATGATGTAAATTATGCGAAAAAATCATCTGAAGGACCGTAACGTCAGCTTACTGATAAAATCTAATGAGAATCATGATTTACCGTAAACAGGGTAGAGTTAATATTTTGAGCCGTTAAATCTCACTTTCCTGATCTGACAACCAGTAGACCAGCAGAATCGAATTAATTTAGAAATCCACTGAAAACAAGGAAGCACAGGATAGCTGTTTCGTTCTAGTGTAAAACTGTTCAGAAGTGCGTATCCCGGACTCCATCAATGGAGATCTGAACCAGAACCTCTAGTTTTTCACTCAAACTCTTATTCTGTAGACCACTGAATTCAAAGACAATTATGTATGTGTCTAACTTTAATCAAATCACATTATTTTACAACACTTACACTGTTTTTGCTAAGTGAATGCTTTACACTCGACACTCTTGAAATATACTAGTGACGGCTTTTCCTTAGAATTCGAAAACTATCCCCCGAATCTAGTTAACAGTGAGTATAGAGTAATAATTAGCATAGAGGTACATGGAGCTTATTGAATGTTATTCATAACACGAACCAATTCATTGCATAGTTCAAGGATTTCTATCAAAAACTTTAATTTTAATATTTGAATTCATGAGTCGATCTAGGCTAGAACACCATTAAAAACCTGGGAGCAGCAGACTGCCGGCTCAGTGGTTTAGAGGTTGAGCATTCATACACGAGACCGAAGGTCCTGGTTTCGAGTCCTATGTGCGGGATCGTGGATTCACAGTGCTGAGGAGTCTCGTACTAGAACTAAACATCCATCCAATTCTTTGAGTTTTCCAATGTTAGTCTAACGTTAATCAGTTCATGAACTCAATTAAAACACTATCATAAGACTGTGATACCTTAGACATCATCTACAAGTATGTTGGATATTTGTAAACCTTTTATACAAAATCTTTGTTGGGTGAATAGTAATAACAACACTTTTCCATTGTCTAAACAAGTTCTTTATTATGAATGATTCAAAATTAGTAATTTTCAATTATTAAAATAAACTGATCAAGAAGTTATTGTAGTTAAAATCTCACAACACTATATAGTCATAATACAATCTTAACTAGAAGCTTCTGAGTACTTGAATTGATCATAAAACTTAGTGTATAGACCAAAACAATTTTAAATTACTTGTTCAATAATAAAGTTTGTACTTCAATAACAGTGTTACCTATTGAACGTAGACAATTATAAAGTTAGCAAAACTTAAGAATTAGATCAGTTATATGATGCTTAGAACAAAACTGTTAGTTGATATGTCTTGCAACCAGATTAAAAAATAAATAGTCATGGAATGTGCTACACACCATAATATGACTTGTAGTTTTAACAGATGTAAATTAAAATACATGTATAAACATGAATTGTTTATATTCATTAACATTTTCACTGAAACATATAAAATGGTCAATAATTACAGGTCACGTAATTTGGATACAATCACTAACTGTATTGTATCAAAAACCAAATATAATTTTATATTATCACTTATAATTAAATTGATCGACATACAAATAGAGAAAATCATTCAATATCAAGTATCATTACTGTCTTATTGAGGTTTAAGACTCTTCAGTAGTGCCTCATCATTAGACTACATTTGATCAAATCCATGACCTACAGATTTTAAGAGGAGAGGAAATCATAATCTTAGACCATTGAATCATAATCCAACATTATTCACTTTGAATTTTGATCTGTATATGATACAGAACAATTTTTATCAAATATTATCATTTTGTACATAGCTCACATCTTAATTAGTTAACTTCATCAATTAGAACATGGTAAAAGTTAGATAGCCTTTGGTCACGTTTTATTCATACTTTTACTCATTTTAAATTGATGAAATGATTTGGAGAATTTGGTACGATTCAACTAGAAACTACTATTATTCTAAAGAAAATTTGTCATCCAATGATTGATGTTACTGTTACGTGACAAAAACAAGAAGCCATGACCAGTGGAGCTAATCCGTGTCGGGTAGAGACAGGTATCTATCTCAGTACAATGCAAGATGGTCGCACAATTTCATGGATTGATTGAGGTTAGACATTAACACCGTTGAATGCCGGCCGGCTTAGTGGTTCAGTAAGTTAAGCGTTCGCACGCGAGACTGCAGGCACTGGGTTCAAATCCTGCTAGCGGGATAGTGGGGAGGAGTCCCACAATAGGACGAAACGGCCGTCCAGTGATTCTAGGTTTCCAATGCTGGTCTAACATCAATCGGTTCATGATCTCAATCAAAAATTAATAATCTGCACAAACCCTTTACTGAAAAAACGAACCCAGAAAATACAACTGATGACAAAAATATGTCTTGTCATTCTAATTCTATAATTGTTTGATTATTTTTTTTAATTAATCACTTTCAAAATATAGACAAATTACGTTTTTTTTTCAAAAGATTGCCAATTTTTTTTCAATTTTCAATCTGATCTGACACTTAGAAATGTGAAGTTGTATTCAAGAAAGAATAAATAGAATCAAAATGAACACATGAAAATGAGTAAACCATAATTACAGAAGCATGACTTTTAAATCAATCAACAAACAACTATATATGTTTGTTTGTTTTTTGGCAAGTATCAAGTCTGTTAGACGAAACCGAAAAACTTTTCTCTTTGTTGTTGTCATTTTTGTTGCTCTTGCTGTCAAAATAATCAATGTAATATGTTACACACACAAAAAAAAATCATTCTGATTACCTCGTTTTCTACTTAGTCACAATTCTACTGTGTATTTTTTGTATTAAAACAAAAAAAACTTGTCATGAAAACCGAGAACTATAATTGAATTATGTAATTATAAAGTGTATATCATTTTGTCGTTTGACTTAAACTACCTTATTGATGTTTACATGTATTATGCATGTTGAATCGACAGTCAACTAAAATGTATTTACTAATTTCTACTTATACTGGCATTTAAGTAGTGGAGTTTTTTTTTCGTTGTTGTTGTTGTTGTTGCTAAATCATGTGAAAAATCATTATGTTTAAAATATGTTCTAGGTAATTCTTTTTTTAAAATGAAATTTACGTACTTAATATTTATGAAACTGAATAAACATGTGCAATAAAAACATATAACATATAATTATAGTAATTTTTATAGTTGAATTCATGAATCAATGGAAACAAGACTACCATGGAAAAGCTGGAAACACTGAACGATTGTTTCGATTGGTTTCAAGAGGAATTTCCTTGAGTTTTAGTAAGAAGTAGTGACCAATGGAGTTCAACCAGGTGTGTTGTGAGATAGTTACTCACTGGATTAGTTGAAGTTAGATATTAACACTGTGTGGTCTAGAAGTTGAGCGTTGGCACGCGAGAATGATAGGTCCTGGGTTCGAATTTCACGAGGAGGGATTGTGGATGCGCACTGATGAGGGGTCCTATATTAAGACGAAACGGCCATTCAGTGCTTCCAGGTTTTCCATGGGGTCTAGCTTCAATCGACTCATGAATTCAACTATAAAAACACACAATTCATAAAAGTTATTAACTATCCAATTGAAATGGATAGTTTGCTTTAGAACACTATCAATTAGTCTAGTAATATGATAGATTATACACATACTAATAAGAAGGAAAAAGACTACATGGATCTATTGTAAACTGACTATATTCCTTTAAGATATTTTATGAATTTCATTAAGAATAATCTTATCTTTATCTTTGAATTTTATCCCAACATTTCAGCTGTTATTACGGTTGAATTTTGTCAATTTCAATAAAAACATCTTGTAGAAAGATGAAGTTATTTTGGAAGATTTGAGTGTCATAGACGATATTTTGCTTTTTCTTCGAAATTGAACTTTATTAAGCATGACTTTCAGTCTGAATTACTTCATTATGCGAACGATTGGATAGAAATTACTTTCTTTTTACAGGCTGTCTACTTCCTAGTTTTAAATTAACTTATATATGTAAATTTTTTAGAATTTTATGGTTTAGTTGAAGGAAAGAAATTTTCTTAAGAAATAGTAGTCATGAAACCAAAGGAATATTCTAACAAGAAGAATTTTCATTAAACTCTTGTTGCATGATCTAGTCAAACTTCATGAGACCACTCAAAGAATTTGTCAATAGCTTTCGTATACCTCATATTCTCAAGGTCTCCTGAAGTTGCGCTAAACACTGACATACATCCTCTTCTTCTAAAACGAGCGGATTCACTTTTTACCTTAGTATAATCTGAACTAATTTTAAGACAAATTTGTTGCACAGGCTTTAGATATGCTGTAATACACTTTAAACAAAGTAACGGTTAATCTATGTGTTTCAAATTCATTAAACTTATTACACTATATTTTCCATATCGCTCAGCTAAAGCGCGTTACTAACAGAACGTTTAATATAATTAAGAGCACAGATGATATTTTAAATCACTTCACGTGTATTTGTACAATACAAATAAGTCATTAGAGATCAAGAGCAACTGCATATATTACTGTTAATATTGAAGAATATATCTATTCAGTCTCTGGTGGCATATATATTCATCCTAAGCAGACTGACTCCATACACTTTCAGATCACGGAGTGAATGAACTAAACTCAAAGCAAATATAATTATTTAGTGATTTTCTGTGAACACAATTGTTCGTTCTTATAGTACGGAAGAACTCATTTCATTTCATCATATTCCAATATGTTTACTTGAATGGAATTGATCCATTCTTAATTTTGATCGTATGTGTATAACAATTTCTATCATTTTGATAGAATCTTGTTCTCACAAACTTCTACCTGAAGTTTGTGCTAATGATGAAAGCTCCAAGACCAAACTATCCAGCTCAAAGAACAAAACTTTATCAAAATCATCCACCAGAGCTACAAATCTACTCTATCATCTCAATTCCTATCATAGAACCATTCAATACATGGAACATTATAAATAAATCCTAATGAATTGATCTAATCATTAATAAATAACCACTTACTTCCATTTCATCTAATTTCAATAATTTTTCATAAACTATTCTATCTGGTACACCAGGTTTTAAATAATCCATAATATTTTCATTCTTTATTAAATACTGCAATACTAATTGTTCATCAGTAATATTCAATAAAGTATCATTTAATTTTGTTGAATTCTTTTTGGCTGATTTTTTCTTCATCATTATCAATTGTGAATTATTCAATATACTCGTAGTTGTTGTTGTCGTTTTTGTTGTTGTTGTTGTGTTCATTGATGATAATGATATTGATTTTGTTGTTGATAGACTTGTTTTAAGCGATATTTCTGTTATTGGTGAATTATCATTAGTAATATTTGTTGTGATTAGGTTTGTTGGTAAACTGTTATTACTTGTATTAATAGTAGGATTGTTCATATTAGGTTCATTTATGATTAATGAAGATATAGATTTATTGTTTTCTATTAAACTCTTGTTTATTACACAACCACGTAGATCTGAACCCTGTAGATAATAGAAATAAATTATAATGTCAAAAATGAGTTCAAATCAATTTCAGAATTTTGGAATACAAAGAAACCTTATAATTCATGTTTATTTACATATGCCTATCCATTACCTGACACGACAGGGTATATGAGCTAATGTGGGAGGAGTTTGCAAGAAAAATATGGTCCGCCAAAATGTCCCAATAATTTAGGATGTCAATCAATGTTAGTCTATACTATGTTGGTAGGCAGTGGTTTGAGATGCTGAGTGATATGTCTTACAATCAGTTACAATGAAACAAATGCATTAATTATTTATATTACTTTAGATAATCTGTTTCAGTATTACTTCATATATACTTTTTCGTTTTCTTTCTTTAAAGTATACTCTCAATATCATGTCTTTTTTATGATCATTCTTATTTCAATATATTGTTTTCTCTGCTTCATATCTTTGCAGTTTTATTGGATTGTGTTAATGTTATATGAGAGTTTAAACTAATGTACATTTATGTCATGCTCTATTTTGGTTATGATTAATTAACTGATTTAGTTGATTCATAACCGAAATGAACATGTATTTCCTTTTATTGTTATATCAATAGTCAATACAGATAACGTATAAGTAAACAAATTATTTTATTAATTTCGAATAACTCAGATTACCATCAAATCAAACAGGATCATGTAAACGCATGTTTAAAAAAAGCAGTTTAGAATAAACCAAACGTGTCAGATAACTTAGTTACATTATGACTTGCTTTAATCAAGACGTAACTAATAAAATCTAAGTTTGAATGTATGAAATAATATTTAGTTCAGGATTAAGTAATAGATATTGAATGAATACGCCTCAGTAACTCTAATTGTTTTGGACAGTGTTGCTCAACTTCTCTAAGCTCTAAAGGTATTCATAAAGTATCACTAACTTGTGTCTAAGATTTTTCGATATTATTAAAGAAAGAGGATGATGTTTCATTGAAGTCATCCAGTATTGCCCAGCACTTTTGTGCACGTTGTTATGAAAGTTATTCACAAAGTATCTAGTTCATTTTTTTACTGTTAATCAAATATTCCGTTACTTAAGCAACTATATTTTGCTGTAATTTTTAGGGAAGTTTTATTTAATTAATAATTAAAAATGTGTCGTTAAAAGGTCACGAATTTCTTAGTTCAAAATCTATATACTCAGTTATGTGCATTTCTGTTTGTTAAGTTTAATATTTAATGTCTTTTCACAATTAGCTATAACCTTTGGTTAAAATTTACTTCAAAGTGAATAGTTTGCGTGAATCTACCTTTCTGATTCATATCATTTACTCATTTGTAACTAGCTTGTTATTAGATTGCTGATGTCCGTGATAGAAGCCATGATCGATTTAATTTAGCAGTACTGGTCTACAGACAGATAATGTAAATGGAACAGGATAATTACTGTACGTTATCACGAATTAGATTTTGTCTAAATAACTGTACAGAAATGTACTTATTGTAAAACTTGAACTTGTTATGTTCAATTTATATTAATCGGAAAGTATACGCTAATGAGAGAGAACTATGGCTAGAAGGATACAGTATTTCAACACTTCCTAGTTTTAAAACATTCTCCAGGCTAATTCACAATAAGGACACTTAACAATTTGTGACTGAGTCAAAACGTTTGTAGACTACGACAAACATTTTTGCTTATCGATTGTCATTTTGTATTCTGTAGTTCACTAGGTATATTTTTCAGAGTTTCTAGTTATTTATGCTGAGGAGTTCAAAAATAGGACGATTTGACTGTCCAGCGCTTCCAGGTTTTCTATGGTGGTCTAGCTTCAATTGACTTATGGTTTCAACTATTAAAATTACTACATTCTCCACAAAACCCCTTCTAATATTATTCATTAGGTGTCATAACAAAACAAAAAAATTGTTTACAAACTTGATGTAGTGAAACTTGACATTTTGTTTTATTCCTCATCATTTAGCTAAAAATAATAAGACACCATAAGTATAACTACACTTCGATTGTCGTTTTGTACTGGACTCAATCATTTACTTACAATCTGTCATTCATTCAAGTTTATTATTACCTTAAGAGAAACAACGAGCGCGAGAGAGAGAGAGAAAGGGAGAGGGATGATCATGTTTAATTTGTTTGTACTTGTTATAATTTATAATTCATAAACATTTAATTACTATTTTCACATGTTTCTTTACTCATGAACTGCACAGATGCAGCACAAATAAAAGATGTGACAAACAAATAGAAATAAAAATGTTTGTTACTGAGTTAAAACAATTTTTTATTTTATTTTCAAAATAATCAATAATTACTAATTACATTTTGTGCACAGTGTACTAATTAACTTAAAGAAAGAAAGCGTTAATGAGTCATTTCACTTTATGGTTGGTAATAAACAGTCAGATACAAATACATTATCTAATCTATAAATTTATTGATAGGATTGTTTTCAGCATGATAGAACACTGTATTTTATGTAATTTTCAGTTAACTTGTAGTAGTGTTTGGATGGCTTCTGAGAATTACGACGGAGCCTTCAGAAGCAGTAAAGAAGCGGAAGAGTTTCCATTCAATCAGAGTATGATGTAGCTTTTTAGAATATCAACTTGGCATGCTACTATTGGACAGTAGCATAACATGCCTCTTTGCTGACTGGTTGGATTATAGTTACAATATCTATAAATACCCATGATTTTCTGAACATTTTGATTCTTAAACAACAAGCACTTCTCCAGTTTTCTGTTTTTTAATTTGCGACTGTAGGGGTTCTGTACGTTCAAGTGCCGTAATTGTATACTGTATTCCGTGTTAATCAAGTAGCGAACTTAACAAGTAGTTGCAATAATTTAATACTATAAGGTGAGATATGAACTCGATAAGTTTATTCGTTCCTCTTAACTAGTACCCGAAGACAACCATTTTACCTACGTAATTCTTTAGGTAAGATGTTAAATAAGAGTAAGGTTTCGATGAATCATTACTGAAGTAATACGATGAATTTATACAAAGAATGATAACTGTATGATTTTCACCCCAACAATAATGTGCTCTTTGTGTAAGTGTGTTTGAATACAATAAAACATCAATATAAGAGCTCAAATGTATCATAGAGTATTCATAGAATACTCTCTTTATCACCATATCTCGCTTCCTTTACCTAGTAGAAAAACTAAGGAGAATAAAACCAAATCATGAGGACACCATACATAACAGTACATTTACTTGGATTCTATTGAAACTATTGAGTTCATCACTAACCATCATAAATTTGATGTATTTACAACTGTTTGAACAACAATTCGTAATTAGTGTCATGATTGTCAAGTCCTTCCTTCATGAAAGCTGTAATGTTATCACTAATTCAAGTGACTTGAAGCTACGTACACTACGTTGAAACGTAAAGTGGCAGTTGGAGAGAGTCGACAGGAAATTCTTAATCTAGGTTCCATGATATCTGAAACTCGTCAGAAAGACGTAGCTGTAAACTAAGAAAGTGATACTCTACGTCGAATTCAATTAAGTGCCACTCAGTTTCATAATCAAAATCGTTGCTAATGGATGGCTTCTAGATAGCTCAGCATCAACATCTCTGATTGTGGAGCTGGGTGACACTTGACCGAATTCACCAAGGAGTATCACTTCCTTTGATATTACGGGCACATCTTGCTCAAAAGTACCAAATAGCACAAAACCTAAGTTCAATGTGTCCTGTCAATTACCTCCAATTACCAACTTACATTTGATGTATTCATATATATCCGTAGATGTAATCGGGCGATCATGGATAGTTATATTAATAAGAAGATATTTTTGCATTAGTCGTTTTCATAAAAATGCTTGAACTCATTTATCAGGCGAGACTTTGGAATTCTCCAAATTTTTTTAAGTATACTTTTATTGTTTAATGACAACAATAAGATAATGATATTTCAAATGAGCGAAAATTGAATTGTTGACCCTTTCATTCATTGCGATACGCCAAACATATCATTATTTTATGATTAAAGACATATCCAATGCTCAATTTATTTAAAATTATTCAGTGAAACCTTGACGATATCACTTATTAATTTAAAGACAAAAGTATGCTGTTTAAATTACTTGACTTAAGGTTAATTTAATACAAAGATCTTCAAATATTTTTAATAGTCAACATCAACATGATGAGTTGATCATAGTTAGTGACTGTAGTTATAAGCTTGAGTTTCAATTAGCTACATCGTTTTTACATATTCATATAAGATGGATTTCATTTTGGTCAATAACACTTGACAGTAACATCTACAAAGCTGGATTGACTTTGTTGAAATAATTGTTATTATCTTTCTATATCGTTTTTAAATAAAATCCACCTGTGTCTGATGATTTAAATGATCAGTGCATCTTTATTTTGACAATAAATATGAAATTAGCTAGTCTGAGACAATATATAGTATTTATTCCTAACTCGATTAAATAAAGTCAGCCATTCATGAGACAGACTATATAGATTAATCGGTATCAATCTCAAATGAGTAGGAATAGTTAAACTTCTCAGAAGACGATGAGACTATAATTTATGGACAGCTTATGGGTGATGCTTAAGTGACCTTGAGAATGTCCATTTACTAACTAGGGCTTAATGAGGGCTATATATAGTAGTGTGAGGAATTAAGCTTAGGATTTGCAGCTGATGGTTAAGGTTCAAAACTAGATTTAGAATTTTTATCTCAAACTGACAGCAGCTAATTAGCCAAAATGCTATTTAGCCGAGCGGATGAATGTATTTTGCCCCGAAATAGAAGACCTGTTCTTCTCGACCAAAATCTATAGTCCAGCCCAGAAACTAGTGTCGCCATTTTATTCAACATTAACCACGGGATTGTGAGAAATTTATTGGACATAAATGTAGATTACCAGTATTTGGTCATTTTACATTCAGAAATGTTACTTGATATACAAGTGAGGTTGTGATGAATTAAAGTGCAGCCAGTAGATATTGCAAATTTCAAAAGCTATACGCACTTTTTAGACTTATATATAATTAACGTTACTGACACACAAAATTGATTTTGAAACAAAAATAAAATATGGGCTAACAAAAAACATGTTTAATCTTTTACAGCACATTCTGTTTAACTTTTCATAGCTTACTTGTTCACGTCGAACTATTACCAACCACGCTGGTAAATAGCTCAAGTTTTCTCCGCAATTTTTACTTTCAGTCTGCTTTTCAAAAGTTTGTAGATTCTTATCGCAACTGCTCTCTTTACAGGAAATATTAGCGGCATTTGAGTTCAGTTGCTTATCTTCTGATAGTGATGTATTGTAATTTGATTTGAAATATACTGATGTTTTCGCTAGACTTATGGCTACTGCTCCATCATTAGGAATAATACCAAACCAATTTTGATGTTGATCGCCTAAGGATTATAAACGATGAATGTAAGTCAAAACAGTATATGTTTCACTAATTTAATAAGTTGGTCTGTTATCAGTTCAGTTATGTATAAAAAAGTGTACATTCATTTATAAATGTTCTATTTTGAAATTTTCTGATACGGCAGAAATACTTCTTAGTATCATCACCGAATAAATCACAAATAAAACTATTACTAAGTGTATTTGAGGTACAACTAATTATCGAGACGCTATGAACAAAATGTTTGCGAAAATCCACCTAACTTACTATTCGTTCTTCTTTTCTTCTTACTGTTCGATTTCAGGAAAAAAAGTAATTATACAGCAGTATCCAAGCTCAAATCAGTATATGTTAAATTGTTTTCCGAACCAAAAGTTTTGATTACTCTATTCATTAGCGAATGGTTTAGATAGTCTATGAGCTACTATAAAAATAGGTATTTTCTACTTTAAACACATCATTAAAAAATATCCTGAAACTTTAATAACTTTTAAGATTTAAATCTGCAGTTTTTAGTGCAAGAATTACAAATACTAATCACTAGCTATTTGACATTCCAACTTGAATAAAAAAAGTCACAGCCAGAGACACAAACGACCTAAGACACTTATTCCCCAAAGTGGGAACATTCAGCGGTCCCAACTAGAGTAAGCATGAATCTGAGTCTGACCAACGAGCCGAAACACCCTAGTGATAGCAAACTACACTTTACCATGGATTTATTCATTCTCTAACAGTCATTGTATAAGTATGTCCATTTTTCTTTCTAACTCTTTAGTTATATTAAACAATTGTCATGACTTACTCATTTGGTCTCTGATGGAAAGGTTTTTTTGTATCACATGTTTTGTAACAACGTTTTGCAAATAAAAATTACGTCGTGACTGTTTAAAAATTATTTTTAAGATGACCAATTTTTCGCATCAAAATGCTAAATTCATTTTTTAAATTTCAAATATGAATAGAGGCAGAAATTACAACAAATACAATGTAATAACGACAATTATGTGCAGGTTGGCAAACGACTCTTAAAGATAAAACATGGACATGTAAGTAATAAGATATGGCCACTGAGTATCATGTCTAAGAATCTTAAAAACCAGTATGGCCACTGCTTTGAATTCCCTGATTCAATGGTATGGATTAAATGGTTTGTCTGATAGAAAACATATTCCCTATTTTTGAAATTTCCAAACATCAGTATACAATGGAATGAGGAGTTATATTTTCCTTAATTGTATGGTTACACAGTATTCAGGTATAAGGTTAATGAGATGGTTGACCTGAGCGGGCCCTTGAACAGGATACATTTCAGAAGATTTACTTTTAATATAGAACGAGTAACAGACGTTCACATTCTATGATGTCTGTAAACTGATATTTATGACGTTTTTGGCGCCGCAGATTTAGTTTGCATTGAAGCCATATAAGAATACCAAATTGTTATAATTATCCTTCATTTTGACAAGAATTATAGGACTAAAGTTTTAACTTAATAGATGAAGGATAAAATTTTAAAAACAATTGAGTGATCTCTTTTTATTTCATTAGGTTCTTGTTAGCTGCTTACAATATACGGTAAAAACTTTTAGTCATAACAAAATTACCTAAATTTTAATTTCACCATGGTGGTGCATACACCTTATCAAAATTCCTTGCACGTTAACTTTAAGATGAATCTGACTGAAAAACACTACGGATTTTAAGTAGCCGATGAGAACTTAACGAGGTAGAAAATGTTATTTTATTCTGTTCATATCTTTGATTTACCTACTTTCACTATAACTAAAGAAGCTATAAGCACAAACTTAGTCTTGTATATTTGTGATCAGGTATTTGCAAGGAATGGAAATCATGAAGTGGATTATTTAAACACATATATCGTTAACATCTTTACTGCATCGAATTTACACAGCATAGGCATTATGTAGTAATTATTCTTACGAATATTCTGTTTATTTATAGCAAGATGTGCTCATTCACTCCGCAACATAAAGCTACACGACTTTAAGTTGAAAATAATAACTAAAACTCACCACAACTAAAAATCGAATTTCTGTAAAAACATGCACCTGAATCTCTGTATTCAAAGTCATAATAATCCATATGTTCTGCTCCCACTTGGCTAGAACACAGTTTTGAAAAGTTCACTGTATATCTGTGAGCCGGAGATGGATAGTTATTATTATTTTCCTTTCCTTCAACAATAAATTTGTTCGATTCTGCAACCAAATTGTAAATATTCTTTTTGCTTCCCTTTGGCTTCTGATAAGGAGAATCAGTACTGATTTCAGCTGAAAAGGGTTTCCTATGACTTGATAGAAGACTGTGACCCATGCTGCGTGAATCATAGTGCAATGTGACGAACATTTCAGAGCTTGATATAAGATCCTCTCTCACATATTTTCTAAACGTATCTGTTGTCAATGGAAAATGGGCGTTATCTGAATTAAATAAAGGATTTAAATTTGTAAGAACACTTTTTCTTCCACTGGAAGACATACTGAAAATAACCTATATGTTGTAAGTGGTTAAATGCCGTGGTGTCTCAGTAAGCAAATTATTTGAACAACCAAGGAGACGTTTGATTTCTCGAGTAAGGAATCATATTTTACGGTGAAAAAGACGTAAACTTCGAACTTGAGGCGTTCTGATACTGCGAAATACTTGATTTTTAGCAATTATGTGTTCATTGAGAACATATCGAGATTTGACTCCAAATATTGAAAAACGATGAATTATGATCCGAACACGTTTCAAACCTTAACAATCGGAGACAAGTCACTTTTCAAAAACATTCTTCAATTCCGTTATTTAAGGGTTGATTATCCAAAAGAGTTCAGAAGACTTCTTAATATTCCACACACATTAACGCATTTCCCGAAATTGATGTTTTGAAAATGCAACCTGAGTTAACATTTGACCTAACTAAGGCAAAAAAGCAATAGGTTATTCAAACAAACAACGTTTAGTATAATAAACAGTATACAGCAATAAATTTCAACCACTTAAGTTGATTCGCAATCATTGATTTTGCGGGAATTTTGATGTCTTTTCACTTTTACTATTTCTGGAAATTGAAAAAAATAAAGCATGCACTGAATACGTACCTTTTTCAAATAGTTCAAATGGTTGTGGATGGAATAGAAGAAGCTTTTGCTTAACAGGCTTCCGTGTCTAGTACCAGCGGGTGACCGATACCTCTATGCAGGAACCTAGGTATATTAAATAAAATGGATTTTTAAAAAAAGGAAATTGGTAACTCATAATAAAATGTTGTCCTTAGTATTTAAGAATACGTCAGGTTGCCTCTTAAAGGACTCCTGGGAAGTCGCTTGGACTAGTTCAGTCGGCAGCGAATTCTAGCATTTGACAACTCTTGAGGAGTAGGAGTTGTGTCTACAGTCCTTCAGCCATGTTGTATCTCCAATTTCTGGGTGTTACCCCTTAGGTTTGTGTTGGGACTAAGCCTAAGTAGGTGTTCAAGGGGATGTCCAGAAGTGTTAAGGATACTGTAAGCCATCAAAAGGTCACCTTTAAGACCCCTATATTCTAGTGGGTAAAGGTTAAGTGACTGGGAGCGCTCTTCATAAAGTTTGAATTTGAGTCCTCGAACTGATTTCGTGGCTCGTCGTTGGATACGCTCCAGAGTGTTCTTATCCTTTTGGAGTGAGGGAGGGAGTACTGTTTCCATACTCTATATGGAGACGAGTAAAACTGTTGAATATTATGTGGAAATTTCTTCCATCAGACTGACCAAAAATGCGCGTCAATGTTACCAGCGCAAGGTTTACTAGAGAGGAGTTTCTCAAGTTGTAACTGTAGTCTGCGACATGTTTCAGATTGACTGCTTTATACTTTGAAGCGTCGAAGGTATGTCCGTTATCGTCTGCCCAACTTTGAAGTCGAGTCAGGTCCTCCTGAAGTGCCCGTTTATCCTCTTGGTTGCGTATTTCTCTCCAAAGTTTCACGTCATCAACAAAAAGCAATAAGTCTGACGACACCTGTTGTGGAAGATCATTTATATAAATCAAGAAGAGGAGAGGTTCTGGTACTTAGCCCTGGTGGACCTTACTAGAACATTCAATATCCTGAGATAGAGTGAAGTTACTCCTGACCTCAAAATGCCGAGTTATCAGATATGAATTGAGCTAATCAATTAGAAATGGTCTGATACTCAATCGTTTGAGCTTATTGATGGGAAATATATGGTTAACCCTATCAAAAGCTTTTGAGAAATCATGATAAATGATATCAACCTTTCCCTTGCTATTAAGGATGCTTGTCCATCTGTTCATTGCAGTCAGCAGTTTGGTTATACAAGAGTAACCTCTTCAGAAACAATGACGTTGGTGTGACAAGAAATTTAAGGACAGTAAATAGTCATATATACCATCGCAAATCATGAACCCCATGATTTTCGAAGGTATAGAGAGAAGAGCCACTGGTTGGTAACTTGAAGTTTCTCTGCGTCAACCTCCTTTGAAAATTGCTGTGATGTGAACTAGCTTCTAATTTTCCGGAAGTTTGCTTCGGCTCAGAGAGTGTGAGGGCATCACTCTGAGCGGTGTCTCCAGGACTGAAGCTGCTTCCCTCAGCACAGTAGCATGAACTATATCTGATCCATGAGAAGTGTCTTTACTTAGGTGCTGTAATTTCCGGTACAACAAGTCATATCGCAGGTTCACTACGGGAAGTCCAGTGGAATTGAAGATAACGCTTCCATCAATATAGTTAGTGTGGGTCGGTTGAAATGCCCGAGAGTATTTTTAGACAGAAAGTAAGCGGTGACGCCCTCGTTGTTGGTCCGGCGGTTTAGACCTAGCAGTTGTGAAACTTCAGTTTTGGTTTGACGAAGGGAGGCTGCATGACGGAATAAGCTTTTCGGATTAGAGACAAATTTATCAATAAGCTTTATCTGGTACTGAATCCCGTCTTCTCTCATAGCCTTCGTGCATATGTTCCTTATATGTTTGTATTGCCTGTACGGGGCATTGTTGTCAGTTCGTTTGTGTTCTGCCCAACAGTGCCTTTTGCGGCTTAGCAAACAAAGAGTATCGTGATTGATGATTGCAGGTTGCTTGTAGATTTTGGGGACCACTTGAAAAGCAGACTTTTTTGTAGCACATAAGAACGTGTGCAGTAAGAAATACCAATAAGCATACACACCAAGTTGAGGATGAATTTCCCAATACACCTGTCCTGTGAAGCTGACAAATTCAACCGTTTGATATTCTAGTGCCAAATGTTGGTAGGATGTATTAGCTCAGTTTTGCTGATAAAACTGAAGGCTATAACGGTATGATCGCTTCTCCTCAGGGGAGTTAGGATTGAGAGGTTGTTAACTAGGAATTCTTCATCTGTAAGTACTCAGTCTAGGCGCGATGGCGTCTGACTGTGTCTCCAGCGATTTACCGACTTCACATTTTCGAATAATCCCAGATACTCAGTGACGTCGAAGAACCTCACTTCAGTAGTTTTCACCTCTACTATACGTATGTTCCGTGAAACTGACTTTAGGGAGATTGAAATGTAATGTAAATCATTTTACATCAGAATTCAGCATCCGAGAAAATGCGTGAATCTCATACAAAATGTTTGGTCGCAGTGAATACATAAAATAGGCATGTTGTTGTATTTCGATAAACAACCTGGAGGTTTAAAAACATAACACAACTGTCTATACTTTGCAAATGAGGCTAGAATTTGCTGAAGTTAACACAAGCTCCGTATTGTTTAGAAATGTTTTATAAAATATTACGACTCTAGTTAACCCTCAACTACTACTAACAGCAACTCGTATCAGTGTTTACAAGCTCTTTAAAACTGGAAGACAGACAGAATCATACAATTTAAGGGATTAGAGACTTTACTAATAAACTCCCAATTCCATCTAGTAAAGTGGCTTCATATTAGGAAATGCGTACTCGCAAGATGGAATATAAATCATTGCTCGCGTATATCGTAGTCTCTCTGATCGTCTTGAAATACCGTTTACGGAAGCAGAAATAAATGAACATACTTAAAACCGATAACGAATAACTGATCTTCAAGTGCTTTTGTATGTTTTAGGCCTGAAGACAAAAAGTATTGAAGTCACTGTATGTCGGTTTTATCGGCGCATACATAATTCAAAATATGTTGGTGAAACCCACAGTCATAATTCACGCAGAAAATCCAGATGTAGTTCCCGTCTCACATAGCTGGTGAAAGAAAACTTATGGTAACAGATCACTGTATTTTGGACAGATTAGGCCAAATAGAAGGAGTAATCTTATTTATTTTTGTGTCGGGTAACTTATCCAAACGCTTATTTAGAAAGTGGCTAACGATTAGGGATTCGGCGATCTTTCTCTATGTAGGCAGAAATTTAGAGGCCGAAATGTCGCATTATTTGTAGTGTACCGTAGATATGAATATGCAGCAGATAAGTTCTGTTTAATAAATTTTGGTCCTTTGAAAACACGTAATGAGGTCAGTATCAATGTTGGAGACTTATAGAACTACTTAGTTCGGGGATTTATTCACCGCTACACGTTAAATGTCGTATTAATTTGTCATCCGATGAGATTTTCATACATAATTCCTTTAATTTCCCAAGAGTTCCTGAAGTATACTGAATAAATAGAGTTCTGACAGCATTACCCTAGCTTATCAAAGTTTAATAGAGTTATTCTGGAGGAATCTGTGGTGTTTGAATGAACTAATGATTCCTTTGTACTTGTTGAATGCTTGATTTCGAATTATAGAAACAGCACATTCGTTTGTGCTTATCTAGTACTTCTTGATCCCATTACGTTATTTCTGTGATTCTTAGTTCATACTATAATTAAAATACTCCTAATCATCATAAGATCTCAACAAATAGGCTGGATCAAATTTAACGGACATTGACTACTTTCTAAATACTTGTTAGATTGACCTCTGAAAAGCGAATTGCCAAGTTATGTGCGTATATACTACAGGTAATTCCAGCGACACATGATCAAATAAGTACTTAGAAATATACTACTTTCTTGATTTGAAATTCGTGGACAGCATGCTTCATTCACTTTCCGGATGATTGCTCGTTCATACACTTAGCTAAGGCGTTTATTCAGAAATGTTTTCAACGAAGTGATGAAAAGTCGGCTTACAGTGAACCCAACAATTATTAAATATTAAACACTGAAATTTAGTTAAATTATAAAAATTGTCACAGCTACAATTTTTCTGGAACGTTTAGGCATGTAGACAGTTATTCAAACTTGAGGAAGTTTGTAACTTAGGAAGAGATTCTGAAGTCCTTTTATAAGTAGTAGCAATGGGTTCGCAGTTATCTATTTAAAAGTCAAATAAAAGCCTACCTTAAGAGCGATTTGGCGTTGATGAACATACACTAAATTTAATCACACCAAAGACGAGATAGAAAATAATTCACCGGTAATTAATTGGTAATATATGATGCGTAGCCAGTGCTACGAAAAAAGTGCTGACCATACTTTCTGTTAGGTAGATTACGTTTTTTTGAAACCTTGGTCTCTTTTCAGTACCATTAAGTTTTAACATTTGTATTACGGTGCAAAACGCATCGTTTTCACGCGACGGTGCTTCTTGCTAGACCGAATCTCAACATGTTTGATTTTTTAAACAGTTGATATGTTTTTACATTCCAATCAAATTTACTATAATGTTTTGAATTATTTGAATTATAGCACGAACTAAGAGTCCCAGAATTAACGCAATTGAATTAAGAAGTAAGACACAAGCACAAGCGAATGTATTGTATTTGGAATTCGAAATCGAGCATCCAACAAGTACGAAGGTATTATTAGTTCGTTCAAACACCACACTTACCACTTATATTAACATTAAGATGTATAAGAGAGAACCTCTTTCGTCATCTTAATGGAGTCTGCATTTAGCATAAAAATTCACGATTCTGAGTTATGTTTCAGCACTAAGTATTACTTGATGAACAGTTAGATGCGAAGTCATATAAGAAATGCATCAAAAATATGTATTTAAAGAAGTTGTTGTATTGCAGAAGTAAAACCTGAACTATATCTAAGGACTCTCAGGCGTCTCACTGTTACTCCAGACGCTACACCTGAAGTTGCAGACACTAATCTCGACTATCATAAACGCTATCCTCAAAAGACATACAAACTTTACCTAAACATGGTTTTTGATTGAATAATGTATTTCATTTATTCCGGGACAGGATTTGGGTGATATATGTATGAACAACTGAAATACGTCGAGATCCTAAATATTAGCCAGGATGTATAACTGTGTATTTCCAGATACCTAACTACGTCAAGGCTGACTATACTGGAAGCATACACTGAATATCAAGTGAACCATATATTTTTAAATATATATATATATATATATATATATATATATATATATATATATATATATATATATATATATATATATATATATATATATATAAGCTGGTTCCCTGTTATGACAGATTAGCCAAAAATCTAAAAAGAGAGCATGTACTACACCTTCCTTCTACAATTCACGATTTAGTTATTCAGAAATATAGAAATTACTGACACCTGTATTTATTTTGAAGTCAAAGAAGGCAGTAATTCATTACTTCAAGAAATTCTAAAGTGATAGCCGGGTCATTTTTTATCTCTAGTATAGTCTATAGAACAATAAATGAATTTATATGAAAAATAAAATTTTTCAGGCTTTCTAAAGCTCAAAGGAATACAAGATTCAATAAGGTAGTTTATTGAGACAATATGACTCCCATCCACTTTCAGACATTGTAAAGCTGTTCGAAAACGTAAATATTTTACAGGTGCGTTACCCAAATAATCCATACTGTTGTATTGCCTGTTATGATGAGAGAATAGTGCATCATTGAGGCCAGTGTACTACAACTGAGGAACTGATAAGAGCTCATAAGGCCAATATTTTGAAAGGCCTTAGCAATGACTGGCATGCTATTTCACTTTCGATCTATTGGTTGTCAAAAAAGTCTCGGTAGCTATATTTAGTGACACGTACTTGTGATAACACAACTTATTCAATATAATACAGTGAAAAATATTACCGTCATGCTTCTTACTTCAACAGAGACCTTAAAGCTTTTGTAATGTGGATGCCCAGCGAAGATGATCTATGTCGAATGATTGAGAGCCTACTCGAGTTAGACAGGAATAGTGTATCCAACAGCTAACTTCGAAGTCATACTTCATGGTCAGCACCTAACGTGGATTACCCCTTCGTCGTATCAAGATACTAGAGCTGCTTTGAGAACCATATAACACAAAAGATATTACAGAAATATATTAGTTAGAGTAGGTACAAGCGAAGCCCGACCACCACCACATTGGTTAGTCCGAGTCGTGAGATTAACTGATGCGTGTTGGTTGACCTCGACTTCGACATGGACCGACGAATTGTTCGACATCCAGTCACCCGACTGCCGGATGATTTAGCTATGGCTCAGTGACATTTCACAAACTTTGGAGTTTTAAATATATTAATAAATCACTGAGTGAAAATCGGTGTCATGTCGTAGTCTTTATGTTAGACGGATTCGATTGATCAGGCCGCAATGTTACAAAGTTGCCATACATGTTGCTTAATGTTTTATTCAATACCTATTGCAGACTATTAGCAATATTTATCGACTTCCTTGAGTCAAAACGAATGAACATAAAGATTAGCAGTAAAATGTGACGGGAGAAAAAGTGATACGCCTTTAGATTTTAAGGATAAGACCTTAATAATTTTCTCGTAAAAGTCCAGTTCTTTGTGGGAAAATTAGAAATTCAGAATACGCCATGACTCATGTGATAAGGCAACCACTAAAAGATTTAAACAGCCAATATGCAACAAACTCACAACATTAGTAGGGTCCTTTGCATACATGAAATGACCTATATGACAAAATATTCTCATTTAGAGAAATACCCTTCATTTTGAACACCATTAAGACATCCACTTAACAAAAGAGGTTGAAGTTGTGAACTAATCATGAGTCTACATTCTAAATTTAATATTTTGATAAACTTTAATGTACTAGAGAGTCATTCGTAATAAAGTATATTCCGAATATTCACTTTATTTTTTATTAGTTTGGTGTTTTATGACATAAATGTTATATCACTATTCGGTAGTGTGTTTATTATCACCCAGCTTAAGATGTACTAACTAAATGTTTCTACGTTGCAATATATGATGTAATATGTAGTGTGGATTTGAATATTACCACAGCTAATCCTTATCAACAAGTGAAATACACAGCCAGATAGACACAGTATTCTGTTTACCCATGAAATTAATCACTATGATAAACAGGAAGACTATTAAATCATAAGAAAAGAGATATTGTACTAATCGATAACTGAGTGGCATTGAATATCTTTTTCTCAAGTATATAGTAATGATTTTGTCAGTAAATTCCATAGCATCCATCTTATAAAATGTTATAACATTGTGGTAAACTGAATTTTAATATTAAGTAAGTCCGAGACGATCGTTAGTTACATTACCATTCAGATAGAATATTTAACTGATGAACCGAAATATAACTGAATATATTCATACATTCACAGGGAAATAAACACGTCACTTACAATTAAAGACTAAGAAATGAACTAAATTGAAAAAAAAAGATTAAAAAAAAGAAACACAGAAATAATAAGACAATATTCACAAACATAATGAAGTCAAGTCAAACTTATTTTATCGAAAAATATGAAAATGATTACTGAATAAAATAAATAAACAAGTAGTATATGATTGACAAGTGTTTCCCATTCATTCAAACCAAATGGTTACATAATACTAACAACAGAATGAAAAATAAATCGATGAAACAAGAAAACAAACAAACAAGCAAAACGCACACACACACTTACACAACATAAATGCAAACATAAATTGAATAGTAATATTTGATAAAATAATAAAATAATAATCATATAATATACAAAACAATACAATAGAAGAAATATAATAAACAATTAAAACAACATAAATAAATGCAGTAAAACAATATCGAATTGAACACATTGAATATGTATATACCATTGAAAAATGAAAGATCATAAAACTTGAATGAAATTTAGTTTATTCATCATTACTGTTTATTCATTGATAAATGGTGATTGTAAGAAAGAAAAGTGAGTAGAATAGATAGGAAGCTCCAATAGAAGATATTTTGTTGTTAAAAGGGATTACATATTTCCAAATTATGATTATGATTATTATTATTATATAGTTAGCTATTGAATACCTGAAGAAAATAAATGAAACAAAATAATATGAATTAATCATTTAGAAATTAATGATTTTATATGAATATGAATAGAACTGATAGATGAACTAAACAAATGTACACATTCAAAATGAGATAGTTCATGTATTACTGTATTGGTTATCTGAATCATCTCAATGATATATTCAAACGTTATCGCGTTATTCACTTAGCTACTCAGTCCAGATAGACACTAACATGAGAAGATTCAAATAATCAATGCAAAAATGAATTAAGCTTCACCCTATTGAACAAGATGATGGCTATCTGGACTCAGTAGCTAAGTGGACAATATGATGATGGCGTTTGAAGCGAATCGTACCGGGTTTAAATTCCGGAATGAACATCAACTGTGGAATGCTGGTACATTCAACCGACAAGTCACGAATAGGATGAAAAGCACGTTCTGGACTCCACTGCTAGCCACCATCATTTCCGCTTATAATGAAACAGTTCATGTTAGTAAAAAAAAAGAGGAGAATGATATGATGAAGAACACAAAAGTGTAAATAATACTGAATAATTGAAAAAATAGTCAAATAGAAGTAGCTGTTGAATTGTTGCAAATTAAATTATTATAATAATATGCAATAACCAAAGTATTTAAGACTTCTATTATGAAAATAAGAATAACCCACATATAAATGAACGAATAGTGTTTTCAATCAGATCGTCATCAAATTTCAGTTTAGAACATACATGAATATTTATATGGATAGATGAAAATATTAAAGTAATCAAGGTAATTTATCAGTGAATAATCACAATCATATAGACTGTATAACTACACACAATAGATCAAAAGTACAAATTGATACTAATAATACAGGTGTACTATTAGTAGCCAATAAGTATGACAAAATAGTAAAAGTTCTAGTCAGTCAGTATTTCAACACTGAAAGTAGTAGGCCTAACTTAAATAAATATATTTAAATGATCACAACCCATTATTAAAATTACGTGATGAGAAGTCAAGAATAAAAACGAAATGTGATAAGCAAGTAAAAACGTTTAAAAAAAACGCAATAAAACTATCCAGTAAGCCACATACGGGCAAGGGAAGGATAGGGTTGTCGTAAATTTCGTTTGAATACAAAAACTAAGGTTATAGGTTCGGTTTCTTGTAGCTTACACTATATATAGGAGAAGGGACTGATCTCCATTAAGATATGAAACATTGGTCAGAACTTTTGTTATCCCATTATATTTATCACTACTACTAGTACACCTGTCTTATGATTATCAATTTGTACTTTTGATCTATTGTGTGTAGTTAATTATACTGTTAGACCCACAGATTTTTACTTGTAATTCTTATTATAATGAATGGTTATATTAAGAATCAACATTGTATATTGATCAGCATAGCCTCTGCTATGTCATCCGGATAATCTTTTCAAATAATTTATCCTACAGATAGGATAATTAGTAATAACTATTGAATACAACTTGTTATTTCAGTGATGGGTTCGTTGAAAAATTAGATAAAGAGTTGTATTTTTTGTTACACAACAATTCTTTGCAGTCAAAGGTCAACTGTACCCTTTAAATATATCTAGAGTTTACTGAAGTGAACAACGAATTGGTTTTGATGGTAATACGTACCCACTTGATTATATTATAGAAAAAGAAAGAATACGTCAATTTATCTTTCACATTCAATTAGCGCCATGTGATTTATTGATTCAGCGAACAAGCTGAAGTTAAAACTGAAACATACGTTTCGGTAGACCGTAATAACTAAACAGAACAGATCATTTTACGATAAAAAAATCCATGTAGTGTCCTGTTCATTCTTCAATGTTGAATTCAATTTAGTCGATTAAAAGAACACAATTTTATCTAATTACCACTATGAAGTGTGATATTGCAATGAATAGACTGAAGTCCCGAAAACCTTCATTTATTACAAAAAACATTCATCACTAGATTTACAAAATGCTATTTCATGGTACTGGTGAAATTCTGACTGCTATATGTGCAACTTTTGAACAAATAAATGTAGTGAATGTTAGTCAGATTCCAAATCACATTAATGGCAATAAAGTTTTCAGTAGAGTTTCATTCTCTGAGTTGAATTGTTTAGTCATGATGGCATCATTGTTCTTCCGCACAATATCATCAGAACAAACTTCAGGTAGAAATAGGGTATTTGAAAGGTTGATGATTAAACCAACTGATTTCAAGAATGAAACTTCATCCAAAAACAAAAATCTCCCGCTCGATAGTCTAAGTCTATCTGTAATCAGAATTTCGAAGAAAGTTGATAAACTTTAATGTACTAGAGAGTTATTCGCAATAAAATGTGTATTCCGAATATTCACATTATGTTTGATTGGTTTAGTGTTTTATACCATAAATGTTGTATCATTATTTTGTATGCGCTTTAATTTATAGAATTTCAATTGAATATATCATAAATAATCATCTGAAGAGAATAGGTTTATGCGTGGATTCCAAAAATGTTATAGAGTTCAATGTTATTTCCTAATTAAATCCCTATCAAAAATGTTTACAGTATATTATACACTAAATGATATTTATATGCCTACGTGAAAAAGATACAACTAATCAATGTAAATTGTAAAACAATAACAATTATATCATCTCAATTACACAACAAGTTATAATGAATTCTGTTTTAGATAATGTAATTTAATAAACCTGTACAATCATGTTTATAGTTGTTTTAATATACGGTAGAGATGTGCTAGGTTAGTAACAAAGGTACCCAAAATTAGTTTAAAAAAGGCCTAAGAGTTGAGTAACAGTTAAAGGGAGAGGATATGAAGACTACTTATATAAGGAACAAAAAGATATAAAAAAGATGAAAACATATCAAAAGCAGTTTAAGAGATTGTTAGGACCACGGTTAAAGAAGAGATCGAATGCATCACTTCTGAACAAAAGGATCAAACTTAAATTGATAGGCTGTAAAATCCTCCGTTATGAGTGAATACTCTGATGGACATGAACGACTGTTATTAACCGGATGTTCAACAACAGAACAACTGATAACTACGTTTTTTAAAATCATTATTACTATGTAGCTTTAGTAAAAGATATCATTGAACAGAATATTTTCTTCACTGGACTGTTTTTATTTTGCTCAATGACGTAATCGGTATCTTCTATTGTTATAATAAATTAGAAGTAAAAGATAATTGATAGTATAACCATAAACGTATAACAAATAGTATGATAAGGTAATCAATTATTTTGCCTTTCAAACTAGGTCAATACATGTGAGAGAAATAAGTGTACTGAAATTAAAATGTTATAGAATTTTAAGCAAAAATGGGAAGTGCGTAGATAGTTAATTTGAATGTACACAATAAATTATCGAATAAATGGTGGGTATATTATTGAATTCCACAGCGGATGTGTGCTACTGAGGCAACCCATAGTAGGACGACGAAACGAACGTTTAGTCTTCCAAGTTTTCAATGTTGGTCTAACTATGATCAGTTCGTGATTTAAGAAAATGGACTATTATGTGACACAGCGCTTAAGATTATGAGAAATACTAATAGTTTAGCAATAATATTCTGAAATAGAGTGACTGTAAGAACTAAGAGAAAAATGAATGCACACAATTACTCGCTAATTTACAATGTAGATATCATAAAACAAAATGTACACAGAATAAGATTGAGCAAGGACTAGCAATGATAGAAAGTGTTAACTAGTATGAATTGGTGGCTCTAAGTGATAAATGGTTTGTATTTGAATGGATATTTTAGTGACTACCCGAAGATTAACAGTTGCATTTCAAATAGTCAGTTAATATTGATGAGAAAAAGAACATATTGTTAGTTAAGATGATGAACATGGGAGCATTAAAACTTGACAGAATTACTGCCGTTAATTCTGAGAAGAGTAGTTCTTGAGACCAACAAATCTACACTAACAATATCTATATAGTATGTAGGCAGAAAATGTAATGAACTCATGGATATTATTCTAAACCAAACAAAGTGCTGGAAGAATCTTGAATTCCATTGTGGAAGTGTTATACATTAAAAAGAACGATTAACGTATTTAGGTTTCTTAAGATACAATACAATCTATAGAAACTTAAATAGACCGAGCGTCTGTCACACAACAACATTTTAAAGTTAGTAATCCGCACGCTAATAGAGATACTTACTTACTTACTATTGTTACCCCTTGTAGGAGATAGGATAACTTTATGTCCTGTACGGAAGTCGAAAAACTAAAAAAGTAACAACTCTTTTCACATAGTAGCATGCAATAACTTAAAGGCGTATAAGAAAGCTAGTAAACTAAAAGCGCTAACAACCAATCAAACCAAAACATTAATAGAACGGAAAGAATAGTTTACATTTAATTCCATAATGTTTACATCGTCACAAAGAATACATGTATTATACAACAGTTCAATTAATTGTAGGCTAAATGCTAATGAATCAAATCGATAAAAATGAATATAAGTATGATCAATTAAGCATAAAAAATTATGACCGATAAAAACACAACGGATCAATTGAATTTGAATTACTACCATTCACTTCGAATCATTTTGATTGAAGTTTCTAAAAACTGTCTTCTTTTTCCAACTTCAGCTTGAAGTAATTAGAAATAAATTCATTGATCTTCTTGGTTCTATTTAATTGAAATAAAAAGTGATAAATAATGCCAACTACTTTCAACTACTTAAAATCTTGATATTGAGTTATTTAAAATAGAGGAGATATTGCAACTTTGTTAGTAGAATTCAGTCAGTATTATTATTATTTATTTGAACATATAAATATTGGTACAAAGAGATCTCAAATATATATGCGCCATACAATAACAATAAGAATGTGGAAGGATAGAGATTGTAAAGTGCATATAAGAAAAAGGAGAACAATAACGAATAGAAATTAGTGTATGAGAGTGAAATAATAATAATAATAATGACAGAAACATTTCAGTTAGCAAAAATACAACCAGAAAGAATTCTTTCAGTTAAAGAAGTTACGGTCACATTTTATGAAGAAAGTAAAAGAAAGTTACAGCATGATCGCCACTGGCTTCTAATCTGAGACATATCTGATAATGTCTCTAGCCACTGTGTTGTACCATCTCTAGGACCCCAACCACAGAGTTATGAAGGACCAATAGAAACCAGTTCTGTACAGCTTTCTTCCATATCACGACACCATGTAATACACTGACCATCTCCCCACTTTTTACAACCAGTCCCACTGTCGGCAAATAATGCAGGACATGAAATTCTCTGCGACGACATTCGGAGAACATGTCCAAGACACCGAAGTCGATGTTTCAAGATAGTGACACCAATTGCATTATCGTCCTGCGCCCGAACACATGATGCCGAACCTCTGCATTACTAACATGGTGTTACCACTGGATGTCAGCAATCCTTCGGAGACAACGATGATCAAACACAGAGAGTCGTCTAACATCCTCAACTTAGAGAGGTCAGGTTTCACAAGTATAGAGCAAGACTGCTCTCACTGACGCGCTGTATATCCAACCTTTTACAGTCAGACTAATATCATGAAGGCGCCCCAAATAGCCACCCTGGCTTTTACTATATATGAATCGATCCCTTCACTCACGCCACCACCAGCACTTATGCAGCTAACCAGATACACGAACTTCTCGACTATTTTTATACGCTCACTGCCGATGGAGAGTGAAGGTTCAGGGCCCTTTCAGTTTTGTAAAAATATTTGGCACTTCGAATTCGAAAAGCACATCCCATTCTGATGGACACGAATTGCCAACTGATTGTGTCAGTATTAAAGACAAAGAAAAATATGATATTGTTCATTAATTAATGATCAGACAATGTAGAATGTCCGAATAAGCACATTTGTCAATATCCCTGAACTAGAATACATTTTTAGTTGAAGATATTAGAAAATACAGCTGGTTGATGAGTAAATATTTTATTTTTCATAATAACGTTCTATTTATTAAATATAACATTAATAAGGTTCAATAAATTTCATACTACTTTGATTTCTTCCATGAGTTAAATTATTAATAACCCAATTAGAATATTATAAATGATTGTTTGTAAGCAATATAGGCAAGTCCTCATTTTCAGTGGCTATATTTTCTAACAGTAAAACAACAAACCAAATTGTTACGTAGTCTAAGTTGTCTATAAATAAATAGTCATATATCATGCTTAATACAAATTTTTAACTTCGACTGAAATGTGTCCCATACTGTGCAATCGATCTGAATACAAGAAAAACTTGGTATTATTCAGATATCCGCTTAAATTTCAAACACTAAGCCACAAATTCGCAGAAAACATAACTTCGACTACTAGCATCTCAAGAATCATTAGTCTTTAAACAAAAAAGTGTATTGTTTAAAGCTGAGTACGGACGATTATTTGTGCAAAATCATACACGCACATAAACATTCGATTTATCAATTTAATTAATTTTGGTGACATACAGCTAGCTATGTCATACAACAATATATTGTGCACAAAGTTGATAATGTTTAGTTAAAACAAACAAAACAACAGATTATCACATTAGAACGGGAAGAAAACAATATCAATAAATAAATGATAAAATATGGTGAAAATCGATAGATAAGAAAAATATATGATCTCGCGTTTTGTCAAATGTGGGCGGTCGTCACTTGTCCGTTGCTTATACCACATGGAAGGAAAATATATGACCATATAGAGATCACACACAAACAAAAGCGACAGCCATATTAAAGCAATGTCCCAACATTATCCAATGACAAACCGACAAATCAATTAAGTAAGAACCTGACATATTTGTACATCGGTTCAATTTACCACTCCTAATTAGTATAGAGAGATGAAATTTTCCGGACAGGTAGTAACAATGCTAGTGGTAGTGGAAAAGGTTAAGCATCCAAGATGCAATTGGATAAGAAAATGTGGATTCGTGAAATAGGAAGATTATAGAGTAATTTAAAAACTTGGGATCTAGGGGAAAACAAAGAAGAAATGCATCTGAGCAATTGCGAGCCACGTCACCTAAAATATTTAACCAATGGTTAAAGTAATTACGTGAACCTCAACCAGGTGGTCTGCATCAACTTAAATGCGTCAGTCCAACAGCGTATTCATGGACTGATTCTATATCTTGGTTTGGCCTCCCCGAGTTTTTTTCCAACCTACTAAGATATCAGTCATCATAGTGCATCGAGGCAATCAAAGGATAGCCATACTTAGTACATACACTGACCATTTCAGTCAATAATGGCTCAATACCTCGTCAATTGATTTGCCATTCTTACCTAGTACTCTGCTTGTAACCTCAGAATTGTCATCTCAACGAACCCAAAATATGCGAGGAATGTTTCAAAGAAACCTATAATGAAATCGTGACCACCTACGAATATCCCTTATTATGGAGGTCTCGTCTCAAAGTCATTAAGTAGAAAGAAGCGAACTGATGTGCAGAAAATTGGGTTTTTTTAGTTGACAGATGGAGACGCAAGTTGGCAAAGCCAACTACGTTTCCTGGATTAATGCTAGGGATCTCGTCAGATATCAGTTGATCAAAAATGGTGAATCTTACAAGGTAAATAAAGTGATAGACAAGCTCAACTAATTCACACCTAAACTGACGATAGGGAGTGAAGTAATTGAGTGTGTTTATCTGCCTTAAACACATCATTTATGTATGGAAAAGGAGATGAATAAGTTTATAGACAATAAGACGATTAAACATAAACAACTTTTGCTAAACTACATAAATTCTAAGCTTTTTGTTCAATAAAAGACAACAACAACCAGGTGAACGTTTTGAAAAAAAAACAGAACTAAAGTAGAAATAATATGACTTTTTTTGTTTGTCTACAAATAAACAACACCCAAAACGATACAAATGTACATTATATACATGTGGACAGATAGGCAAATAAGTTGGTAGTTAGTTAGTTATCTCCTACTTTGTGAACAGGAACATCAATAGAATGCATAAAAATAAGTAAACGAAATTTTAGTTAAACCTAGTGTGTGTGTGAGAGAGAGAGAGAGAGAGAGAGAAAAAGAAGGAGGTTGGTAAGGATTGTCGTTTATAAATACATTGCAAAAGAAAAAGAAACAGTGTACCGCGTCATAAGTTAACAGAAAGAAACATTATTTATTGTTTCCAGTTAGTTTCATTCTAAGAGTGCTAGCATACACATAGAATCGATATGCATACAAATGTGTAAATCTAAAAGGAGAGAACTAAATGACACTGAAAGATGGTATTTCTTTTTGTCGGAATAACAGAAATAAAGAAATCCAAGAAGATAATTATTAATTATTGCGATGATTTAGGATATTTCACACACTCACATTGAGAAATGTAATGTTCCCTATGTATAAAACCAACCAGTTAATATTTCGAATAGTAAAAATCATTACAAAATTCTTCCATACAAACTCAAACAATTTACACTGTATCATTACTAGATAAAGCTTTAAAGAAAACTATATAAGTCTTCTCGCTTAGTGGGAATTAGTTGAAAGAATCAATGAAGACTTTGTGAGCATGTGTAATTGAATTCTGCGTTACTGTTTCAATGATTCGAATATGTTACAGATCATAGGTAGTAAATTTATGCTGAGACAGTAAATGTTTCAGTGATTCTTCCATGTATTCAATGATGGTCTAGCTTAGATCGACTCATGAATTCAACTGTTGAAATATATCTTAATTATTGATTACTTTATCATTACATTGGAGTACTGACTGTCTTCTTTTAACAAAATTTAATTAATAATAATTTCAAGAACCCTGTTATATTGGAAAGAATGTAAATGTTAACGATTAAGTAACTTATTTCATCCTAGAGATTAAAAAAATCATAAATCTTTTCTCCAGTGTTTATTCCATTTCTTCTATTTCGGCTGGTTATTTTCATACTTCGTTAGGGGTAATTTACATTTTAAGCACCGACGTATACATCATACAATCTTAAAAGAGTGAATATATGATCAAATTCACTATAAAATATAACTAATTACTTACGAAACATTTTACGGTTTATAGTATATTTGAAGATTGGAAAGAAAAGTCAGGATAACTGGTTCCATATCTTTGGTTAGCACAGTAAGCTAAACTTTGAATCTGATGTCATGTGAGCAAAAAATTAACGGCTTGTATTTATAACTAGGTAAAATAATCCAAGTAGAAGTATACCTATGAAAGTATCATGACATTCCTAAATGCTACGGTATGGTAAGGCGGTGGTTGAAGGCAGTGGACAGGAAACTCTGAACCGAGGTTTCGTAATATATGGAAATCATCAGCAAGATATACCTTTGATCTCCAATCGAATTCAAAATCACAGATACACATTGTCGAAAAGTTTTGAATAACCCGAATCCCAGATCTGGGGTTTACTGTTGTCCATTTTCAACCGCTAGTACCAAAGCAATTAGTGTCGTTATTCTACTATTTACACAACTTGATAACTAAAATTAAAATAAACAGTTCTAATGGAAACAAATAATACCATATACTTTACACATGGACTTAACAGAGAACAAGATCATTTGTATGTAATATTCAGCACACATTGATTTTAATTAAGGTGCTATTGAAGATAAGGGAGTACAAGGAACCTGGTTTGCTTCAGAATGGAAATCCTCAGAATTTATTAGATAAAATGAAACATACTGATCTAAATATAAGTTAACGGTTCTTTCATTTAATATTGGTTAATTTGAAAAAGCATTTAAAAATCCAACGTTTTACCGAATATTATGGAGATCAAGTGTCATATCTGGAGCTTAGATTCTTGATATACCGCGTACAACTTGAGCACTCAAACGCTAGAATCCTCAAAAGTCGCGAGCGAGAAGACAGAAGACGAGTGAGAAGGAATGCTATTCCGAACAGTGTCGAATATGGTACATAACTATCAGGTATTTACAGTTTTTAGTAAAAGTGAAATCATCATTATAGTCATCCAATCCGTATACAGTGGTTGTAGCATTTGTCCAATAGGGAAGCTATATGTCGAGATTCTGGAATGATCTTCCAAAAGATGATCGGATAGAATGCCTTCGGCTCTTTCTGAGCTTCTTAGAGATTCCTCGAGTTCACCCATGGGCCGTCCTCACACTATGAATGTTTATTCAACAGGAATTGCTTATAAAACATAGAATAACCATTATCATTTACATACAAGGAAAAAGCTTTAATTAAACAGTTAAATTGTATGACGATGTATATATCCTGACATTTCATAAAAAAATGATTTATTACGTAGAACGATAAGACTTACATGTGAGTTGATACCATGAACTGATTGTGTGCATTTTATCGGTGAACTGGCCAATGAAGACGTATGATTTAAACGTGGTCTACAATCAGTAATTGCCATTTGAAGCCACTCAAGCAATAAGTTAGCATGAGATTGTAAACCTTGACGTTGATAAACTATAGCTAAATTACGTACTGCACTATGAACCACAGATCTAAAATTATGAAATATATTAAACAATTGCCACTTTACTAACAAAACACATATTTTTTTAAAAACTGACTAAATTATGCTTATAGGGGAACTAAAGTAGATATTTGATTTCCTTATGAACTGACATCACCCACAGAACCATCGGAAATTAGTGGATAGGCTAAGAAAATATCTTGTCATAGTGCGGGAGTTATTGACAATTTTTATCCACGACAACATTCAAGATTGAATCAAGGACCTTCTGGTTGAGAATGGAAAACGATACATTTTTGACCAGTAGCTCGGACATATTTTTCCAATCTCCGACCGATTACCATTACATCGTTCAATCCTCACTTAGTGTCAAAAGTGAAATTCATCTCAGTCTAAACGCAACTAGAATTTCATTAGTCCAATAACCCATGATTTTTAATGGCTCATCATTTAGTATCATGTTCATGCTGGACGCTAATTTTAGATCAAATAATCAACCCAAATTCTCATCTTAATTCTATGATAAATACTGGGGAAAATGATAGGCAAGTGTTTAAGTTATTGAAACATTATTTTGACTTTACGAACGGTAATAAATGATTACGTAATAATCTATTCAATAATCTGTAAGATTACAGGTAATGTGCTTTGAAGTACTTCAAAGCACATTATTAAGAATTTTTAACACAGAATAATGATAATAGAGTTTTTAGAAAGAACATCCAATAACATTTATTAGTTCTAATAAATAACCAAATTATTAATTCAGATATTGTAACAGTCAGTGATGTATCACGATTGTTCAGAGCACTTTGATTTCTCTTAAATTTATAAATCTAACTAATTGTCATGTTCTAATGATCTTACTTGTCACTCAGTATAATTACCAACATTGATCTAGAAAGGTCATCTTTAATATCGTTTCACATTGTCTGACCGAATTACAAATAGTTAGTAATTCCATAAAAGAATATTCATACTAACTATTGAAATGGAAGAAAAGTCAATTTTCAAATATCTTGTTATATAATTAGCACAGTAAATAAACAATGATTATATCAGAAGAGGTCTTGTGGGGATTGTAGTAATTTCAATACTTGAGATCATGAATCAATTGAAGTTAGACCACCAAGGAAGACCTGGAAGCAATGGACGGCCAAATATTCCTATTGTGGGATTCCTCAGCAGTGTGCATCCACGACCCCGCCTCGCGAGATTCAAAGCCAGGACCCATTAGTCTCACGCGCGAGTGCTTAACCACTAAACCACTGGACAGGCATTCAAAGGTGTTAATGCCTTCAACTAATCCACGAAATTGAGCGACACATCCATCATTATCTTAAGTGAGTTACTATCTCTGCTGAGGAGTCCCACAATAGGATGAAATGGCTATCTAGTGCTTCCAGGTTTTCCATGGTGGTCTAGCTTCAATTGATTCATGATCTCAACTATTGAAATAATGATTATAGTTTTGATAATTCTGAAAACAGAAACTAAGTTATGGTTTTTCCATGTTCATAATTTCCATTATGAAACGATTCAAAATGAATATAAAAGCAATTTTTTATTATTACACACCTAGAACAAAACTTTCTAAACTCTCAAAGGTTTAAATTCATTCAACATTTTGACAAGCCATAAAAAAAATCAGAAGTATACAATAAAAATTAGTTTGAGGGCGACGTCCTATAATATGCAAGCGTTATCCTGAGTAATTCTTCTTGAATGTGATTAAAATGGGATATTTCGATGAATAAAAATGTTAAGAATGTATTCACAATTAATTGATCACTGAGTGGTGATCAATGCCATGCGTGTCAAGTCCTTATTTAGTGCAGATCGAATGCTATCGACCATGTTGCAATGTAGCCACCAGTCTAGGTGACTCGATACTGCGTGCACTATATATTGAGATTAGATGGTGGTAGGAGGTAGTCGACAGGTACACCTTGCTGACGAGTACCAAGTAGCACGAAACCCGGGTCCAGGGTTTCCTATCGACTACCTGCAACCACCATCTAATGTCAAGAATGTATTTTACATAAAATAAATGAAAAGCCCAAACGTAATCTTATTCATGTTTGACTAGATGTGTCTATTAGAGATAAATAAATTTCAAACTACAGAAATAAAATACTAATTATAAGTTAAAAGTACAAATAAAATCTAGTTATTCGAATAAGAAATGATAACCCTAACTATTTTACCAAAACAAATCAATTCACCTTCTGTAGGTCACAAAAGATTATTTATTCCCCGAATGATTGGTTATTGAACATTAAACAAATACACAAGATATGTAATTTAACCTAATTTATACAACGTATAGGTCAAATATTCCAAGTAGATACTTAATCTCATATTATTATAGCATAAAACAATACATACAATCCCATATTATTCGATGTTTATGAATGTCTGTATAATAAATCATCACTACGATAAAATCATTAAATAATGTGACTGGTATAAATATGCTGTATTATTACAAAAATCCCAAAGATGTATATATCTCCTTGTAGACCATTTCGAGTAAAATAATTTTTAGAAACTCTAAAGTGAATTATTATATTCAAAAATCAATACTGAGGCTATAAACCTAACTATTTAATGAAACGAAACATTTTTTCAAATCATAGAAACTAATTGTCACGTAGTTGCAAGGGCCGTTCATCATCGATATGTAAATAAATTTGTGTTTAAAAATTGCATTCAACGTAAATTTAACACCGTTGACATTACTACATTTTATCATTTTAAAAATTACACGTTACGACTCTACCATTAATTAAGAGTTAAAAACCTACAATGTAAGATTGTGAAGAGTATAGAGAGTCAGTTAGTCATCACCAACGTATGACCTGCAACCCGCGTTCATAGAATCATATATCAAGTTAGCACAGTGAGAGGAAATCAACAAAACGAGAAATTATATTGTAAGTAATAGAAATCCAAACAATATTTTTTAAAAAAGAACATCGTAAGCAGCGATGGATGGTGGCTAGAAGTGAAACCCAGGATAGGCGTCTCGTCCCATTTAGCACTCGTTATTTAGATGTACTCGCATCCCAGGGTTGATGTTTACTCCGACGCTCGAACCCAGTACCATTCGCTTCAAACAACATCGAGTTATCCACTTGGATACTGAGTAGAGATAGCCACTGGCTTATGCATTGGTTGTTTTAATCTTTCTATTGATGTTTAGGACTACAATTGATCAGTTTCTTGTGACGTTTGTACATCTTGTGCAGATTTTATAGAAATCGTTTTAAGTCACAAGGATTATAAGCTAAGATGGATGATGGCTAACAGTGGAGTCTTGGAGACACATTCCATCTTATTCAAACAATCTATGCAAATTATCATTTATTTAGTGCTTTGTTATCTTGACAAATTCTCACAGACAATCACATATTTACTCATTGTGAACACGCTACACATTGACTCATATTGAATTACCGAAAAGTTGATGAAAATTCTTTCAAAGTATCTGTGATTACAAATAGTCAATAGCGAACATTGCTTTATTCAATGTTCAAATAGAAATTAAACCGATTGCATAAAATGAATATTTAGCTTACATACTATTATGATAGACTAAATAGAAGAAGACATATTATTTACTATCGATGATTATGCCTACAAATATTCAGTCTATTGTGGCATTTGTGCATCCTGTGCAGACCGACTCGATAGTGCCTTGGAGCTTGGTGTATACGAAAAATGGAATGAAATTTAGAAAAATGTGTGAAATAAGTACGTTTCCGAGTTTAGAAACATGATGATATGTAAACAGTGTATGCATAACATAGCTAGTTAAGGGTCATGACCCAATAAAATAAGAATTTATATATATATATATATATATATATATATATATATATATATATATATATATATATATATATGTAAATTCAGGGTGCACAAGTGCTTTACGAGCTCTATGTATTTTACCAACCAAATACTATCGATCATAGATTTTCGTATTAAACGAATGACATTAATTGTGTTACATAAAGTTTTAGTGAAATTAAACAAATATGACTGTTGTGTATAAAAGTTGGTGAACTGAGAAACAGAAACAATGACTTGGTTCTTTAATGAGGAATTCCTGTCAATCAACAAACAATGTATTCGATTGTAAAAATATATAATCAAAGTAAAGTAATTTAACTAAATACCTCCTGGATAGGCCTATTAATAGAATTTCTAAATTCACAACTTAATGATAGGGATGTCAGTGAGTTATTTAATTACAAAGAAAGATTTAGTGCAGAAGTGAGTCAGCTCAAGTTAACACAGCCCACACGATCACAGTGTTATATCTTACTAGTAGGATTTTAATACGGGCCTAAGATTTTTACGGATTTAGGAACAAAAACGTCTGAACTGCTCTAATACAATTGGTTTCCTTTCAAATCGGCAACAGTCATTTACACATATCACATCAAACACCCTGATGGCTAATACAGGAAGAAGACAGATTGCGGGAAACTTGATATTCGAAGTAGAACAACAAACATAAGACGAATTGGTACAACTAAAACTACAGTAGAAAGCCTTTGCGGAATGGAAGTATTGTCCTAAAATGATTTGCACTTCTCCAACTTTTGCTGTGTTCTTACGCAACAAAAGTACCATTTTTGATCAAAAGAATCTGTCCCGATCTGAACGTTCGGTAGATTACCTTTCCTTTTTAGTTTTATCCGAGTTAATAGTTAACTGTGGTTTTGTCTTGGCTTATTATTCACCTTTTATGGTTTCTCACGTCAGAGCTGATTTCATTATATCCTAACGTTATATACTACCCGTTTTTATCCGCTTTATCCGTTTAGGGTGTACTGTTTTTATTTCACAGTCGAAAACTTTTACCGAGATTTATTTAACAACTTATATTTCGCCATGGTTACTAGGATCACATGTAGGCGACCTGGATGTCGTTTTGCTATCACAAGTGGTATCCTGACTAAGTTGCATAAAACGTTGTCAGCAACCTTGAAAAAAGGCAGTCCTGAGACGGATAAAAAA